CATGTATTATTGACAAAGTTTTGGGGGGTACCCACGAAGGACGTTGGAGTATACCCATTCCGCCAGCCTAGTTTAAGGTATGCTAAATGTAGTAGTCTGGCCAAAGGCCAATAAAGGATATCTACTTCCTAACAACTTTTGCTAAAAAGCATGCACAAGTTAACTAGACGCCTAGTTAACTGCGTAGATAATATATATCCAGCTTAAGCCAAGCCGGCTAAGCTAATGTAACCGGCTAGCTCTAGCTCTTCTTTGGCTTTAGAGTCTAGACCGTTACACTAAAGGCTGTAATAGCATGTCTTTTACTCTTAACGTAGATTATCACCGAGCCGGCCATATCACCGAACCGGCCATTTTCTCTTGGCACGACTAACACAAGTTACTGCAACTACAACTACTTGCTATTAAGCTATTAAACAGTGACCCAGCATACTGCGTGCTTGCATCAGATTCAGAAGATGTTTCTGCACCCTCCTGGCACGTTCGTGCGTTGTGTCCAGTTTTGCTGCAGTTCCCACAGCGCCAAACAGTTAACTGAGCTCCTAGTTGACCACCTCCACCCCAAGTCTTCTTAGATGGCTGAGCTGCTACACACGCCTCAGCAGCTACCCGCGATGCTGCTGGGCCATACTTAAGTGTGCCACTATGCTGAATCTGCTTTCTCTTACGCGATTTTCTCTTAGTTATTACTGCTAATTGCTCTTCAAGCTCTCGCACGCGGGCCTTAATAAGGACGTTTTTATGCAGTATCTCTTTAGCCCCTTTTATAAGCTTTAAGAACCCCTCTTGCGCTGCACTTAGTAATTGTTAGAAGGAGTTGCTTACAAGCTTAGATTAAGACCTAAACTTATGTGTATTGCTTAGTGTCTTAGATTGCTACAGTGTTTTAGGTAGAGGTACTGCTAGTAGGGTATGCAGCTGCACTTTAAGGCGATCTAACACTACCTGCGTGTTAGTAGGAACAAGCCCTAATACCTTAAAGGCCTTTTAGTAGTTAACCTTTGTAAATATATTAAGGAACGCGTCCCTAAAGGCTAGTAGGAAGCCTTCCTTATTAATATAGAAGATATGTTAGTGTGCTAAGTCTTAAATATATTAGGAGTACTTGCGCTTTAACAGCAAGAAATAGACTACATTAAGTAGCTAAAGGATGTGCAATAAGTAAGGTAGCATGTAGAGAGTAAGGATTTAGTTCTCTAGGCAATAGTCCTTAAACTCCTAGTTAAGATAGCTCTTATAGCTGTCTAAGAT